AGGACTTTGTTTGGAGCTGGCCCGGAGCAAGGGAGCGCTGAGTAATTCAGTGTGACAGCCCCAACGTGGGAAAGGGCCCCGGTCCCCTGATGACCCCCGAGGGGATGGGGGTCCTGCCTGCAAAGCTGCCTGCCCGTGTCCCAAAATCCTGCCCTTCTCATCCCAAACACCAGGGGAGCCCTCGGGCTGCAGAGGGGGAAACTGAGGCACGGCCGGGCTGAGGGATGTCCTTGAGATCCCGGGAAAAGGGGCTCCCCAAGCCTCGGGTCACCTCAGCAGAGCCAGAAGGAGCTTCTTGTTTCACAGGGGGGCTCTGGGGCAGAGCACAGAAATAACCCCCTGAAGTCGAATTGTTTGGGGAGAGCTTTCCTGCTTTGCTCTGTAAATCCTTGGACATATCCCTGCCTTGGAGCACGGGATAAATATATATATATAAGTATATATATTCCATGGCTGGAATGCTCCCTCTCTCCACTTGGGACCTTCCATCTGGCTGCCTGATCAGTGCTGCTCCCCTCTGGCACTCGGGATTTCCAAAGCTGAGCCTCACAGCTCCCAAACGGAGCATTTACAGCCCAAACCCGGCCCAGGCTGCAGGAGAATTCACTGCAGCTCCCTCAGAAATCCAAGTTTGCTCTGGGAATTGTTGTTTTGGAGGAATCTTTTGCTCTCCTTCATTAATGAAGCATGGGAGATGCTGAGGAGACGCTGCTGGAGCTCCTCCAGCCCGGTGCTCCACGCAGAGCTGGAGGCACTGATGGCATTCTCTAATTAGGGACAAAAGTAGCTGTTGAGACATCATCATTTCTTTTAAATGAGTACGGACTTCGAGTCAGAGTGGTCCCAAAACTGCCCCGTGGGCACGAGCCACGCCGAGGGACCTCCACCAAGTCCAATTTCCACCAAGATGCTTTTAAATCTGATTATTCACGAGTTGTATATCGATTTTAACCCGGGAGTGGGGCTGGGCTGGGCCAGCCCAAAGGCAGGAGAGAGGAATCGATTTGGAAACACCTCTGCAAGTGTAAATGTGCTGGGAATTGTTAAGTCAAAACCTGTCTGTGGTTAATGATCCCGGGCCTGGGCTAATTTTGGTGCTGTGCTGTCACCCCAGAGAGCCCAGGGGCAAATTTTGGGTGCTCCCTCCCGGGCATCCTGGCACGGGATGTGTGACCCCACGTGCTCCTGCAAAGCCCGGGGTGTTACCAGGGGAGTTACATCACCCGGGCAGGCCGGAAAAAAACCTGCTCCAGGGCCAGGCAGATGCCACACCCCAGATTAAAGGGCACATTTAGTTCCTGGCCGGAAATAAGACCCCAACACAGGCCCTGGGTTTGCACAGGAGCGTTGCCAGGAGATCAAACCACCTGGATCGCTGCTCCAGGAGTGAATCTGCTCCCAGGCCACACAACTGCCAAGCACAGCTACACCCCAAATTAAAGGACAATTAAAGGGCT